TTCCACCCCGTGTTTTCAGAATGTGACCATATAAACTGGTATTTATGCTAAATACAGTCTTTTGAATAACAAAGGAAACAGGGTCAATCATGTAATAATTGAAGAACAATTGTAATGGTCAAGATATTGATAAGTCTACAGAATAAAAGTTGAAGCAGTCTGATCGTTGATCATCAGCTTTTACTCTTTTTATCGAAATATATTCGACAGGCTTCACAGGCCTTTGAGAAAATATTAAATTACTATTAAGAAGATGATAAAGCTTAATATATACTGAAAAGCATAGTAAATTGTTACAAAATTATTAACTGCATTCGTCTGTAATTTTCCTGATTAGTGCCAGCTAGATGCTTAATTTTTTTATTGGTTGTTTTTTCACAAATTTATCTATACGCGCAAACGTTTGACTGCAGTGTTCCAATACCTCGGGTCAATGCCTAACGTCTTGTTTGCAGTAAATCAGCTCAACGTCTTGTTTGCAGTAAATCAGCGAGTGACCTGTAACTGAAAAGCGGCAGGCGTACTTTAGCGGATTTTGAGAATCCGAATTGGGTCTTTTTTAATGTTAAATGGTGTTGTTGTCGTTTTCCTTGCATATGCCTCCTATTAGCTAATTAATTAAGTACCATAAATGTTGGAAATAACAACCAGTAATTTCAACACTCCAACTAGTGTCTTCATCCGGGGTGATCCAAAATGCTAAAGGTTATCTGCACTGCACTAGACTGGATTACGGAAACGTTAGGTTGTGAATACAATTTTTTATTAATTACAATTATTCATTTATGGGTGATATGAATTGATAGACATCAAATTCGAAGCCTGAATGGCTGATATATTTCTAGTGGAACAACAATGCTTTAAATACTTTCATGTTTAGCCATTGACAAATTCTCCTGCAACTTTGAAGTACCTAAAAGTTGCAAATGGACTCAAGATTCCAGTGATGATTTCAATTGGTCCAGAAATCAAGGTGAAGAGATCAGCCCATTCCACAGCGGCCCAGCTACAGATCATACCAAGGGTGTGGGTGAGTGTCAGATTTTGTCGGAAGAAGTAGCACTGCCATCATTACATAACATTATTACCATCATCACGACCATCATCATTATCACCACTGCCAGTGGCACCACTCTGAACACTCTCACCAGCGTTATCACCACTTACACTATCATTATCACCTCAGCAAACATATATCACCACCATCATCACCATCATCTTAAGGTTCAATTTCTACTGACTGATGTAACAACTATTTTACTGATACAATTTTAACTTGAAGTGTATTACGTGAATCACCTGACACTGGGGAAAGAATGTGAAATATATACAATTAAATTTGCAATTGCACTACTAAATCCTTTGTATATCCATACTATTTTAACAACATGTCCATAGTACGGAAATATACAATTATTATGGACGATCAAAAATCCATTCTATTTCTAATAAAGGTCCATACAATTTCCATTGTATGGATTTTTAACAATTTTTTCCAGCATAAGGGAAAAGTAAAAGTGATCGCAATCCATATGCCATTTACATAACAAAACAAAGTGGTCGTGAGACATATATTTTCACGGGTTACCGTGAGAGTTATTGCTCAATGTTCCAATTACATTACAGTTGGAAAGCTAAATTATATGTTAAAATAATGTATACTAGATAGTTCATTCACTAACTTTATTTACATTCGGTAGCTCTTATTAGTTCAGCTCTATGAACTGTTCTTTTTCAAAAATCCGGTACGAACTATTCAATATGTGTTCAGTGTTACTACCGATTGCCCCCAGAAAATCTGCTCTTTTTGCCAGAGTCAAGTTAAAAGCATTTTCCTCACCATCTGGGAGTTTAGATTAAATCCCACAGCTGCAAATTTCATAAAGCGATCATTGGTCGCGGAGGTGAAAGTCATATTCTCTAACCACTGCCCCCCCCCCCAACACTATACACATAGCTGCAATTTTCTAGCTAATAGTTTCCCAACTACACATTTCTTATTTCAGCATCTGGTTGGTATTTATATATGGAAAATTCGTTTCTGGGAAGGAACGACGTAGCTCGATTGGTTTCGCCTTCGACAACAGAAGTAAAATCCTGTCTCACCTTTTTTTACCACATGCGCGGCGTTACCGTGGGTGAACTTCTGGTATTTATTTTTATTTATGTATCTATTTATTTTTATTTATACACTTTCCCAAAAACATGAAAATGTCTTGAATTAGGTGAAGATTTTGAAGTAAACCGTCTTATACTGTGCTATATTTTCTCGATTTTGCGGTAGCGAGTACTTTCAAACCTATCGCAGAGCTTGAAATAACATGAATGAAATGGGCAGAAAATATCTGACAAAATTATGGAATTTGATTGGAAACTTTCAAACATTCCACACAATCAATCGAAAGTAGTAACTTTTGTATTGATAAACATAATTATATTACAGCAGAAACAAGTACTTTTCATAGATCCTTCATTAGCGCAGAATAATAATATATAAGCTGATAATCTATTTACTGCTAATCGTTTACAAAATATGTTTTCCCACTCTTATAATCAGGACGGTAATTTGCTAATTTAACAAATATCAATTACAAAGCACAAATCATGGGCGTCAATCCTGGGGGGGGGATGGGGGACGCCCCCAGTTTTTGGAGTAGGGGGGACGAATATCTAATTATCCCCCTCACTTTTTAACATATTTTATGAAATTCTGTTTCTTGGTAATCTAAAACCTTTTTTTTTCTGTTTTGGATAGGCTAGGGGCCTTCTAGAAACCTAATAGGTCCTAATAGGCTTTTTAATTAAGACCCCTTACATTATTTCATTCTTATAGACTTATATCTAATCAGTTCGAATTATTATATTGAACAAGCTTAGGATAAAAGTATATACAACATAAAACATTTACATGCATATTAACTTAATTATATTTAATTATATATATATATATATATATATATATATATATATATATATATATATATATATATATATATATATATATATATATATATATATATATATATATACGTATTCGAAGAGGAAGTTACTATATATGTATATTAAACTATTATACATCAATTATTGAGCTAATGAGTAATGGACATAATCAAAATTTACTAATATAACGACTAAATTAAGATTTAAGACTAGATAGTTTTATTTTACCATTTTCAAAAGTTCAAATATAGTAAATTAATATTAAGCCTAAACATTCCATTTTTGTAGTTTCTCGCGTAACTTCAATTAGAAGTTGTAGGCATAGCATTGCAATCTAACCAAATGAATAACTAACAACTAATATAATTAACAACTTTGATGTGTTTTATCACACCTGCACAAACTTGTTTTTTAGCGGATTGCTCAAATGGTTAAAAATGGTTAAGATCATGCACATTGTACTACAATTTTACAAGTGCCTCCACAACGCTGGAAATGCCATTTCAGTGTACCAAAATTTTAAAAAATTTCGGGTAGTGGTACCTCCGGACCTTTCTAATTTGGAGTCCGTCCCCCCACTTTTTGGGATGGATTGACGTCCTTGGTACAAATATCGATCAGGCGCAATTTTTTTTAAAAGGTTTTCATCGTTTATATTATACACCTTGTAGATATTATACTATCCAGGTTGCACCACCCGTGATTGCAAAAACACCTGGGTTACATGAATTTAATTTACTTGCAGAATAACAACAATTAATGAACTTGAAGTTATAGATTTAGAATAAACGTGTAAAGAAACAATGAAATATGCAAATGTATTGTTGCAAGTTTTGAAATTTAGGGGATATTCTTATAGTGCTTTCATGTTGCCGTTTTAATGCGAGTTTGGGCATTTTAGGCGGTTTAAGAAAACTTAAATCAATTATAACACGCGCTTTAATGCGATTTTAGGTGATTTAAGCCGGGCAATTTTAAGCGAGTTACCACTCCAAAGTGGGCCTTGTTTTTATTCATTAAAATACATGCAATAAACATTTGGAAATACAATGTTCGAATACCTGACATATTACTTCTGAAATATTCGAAACCAGTTCCGTAAAGCCTAGTTCACACTGGTCGCAATTCATCGGCGATCAACTGTATTTTTTTCCGACAGACAAAGTATTTTACACACCAATGACCACACACAATGGAAGTCCCCGATTCTTACGACCAGTGTGAGCCAGGCATAAAGCAGCAAATAATATTTGCTATGGTCCAGTAAAAAAAAACTGACGGGATAACGACTCTTGCGCAATGCTGTGACTTCATCACTTCCATTTACATGCAAATTGTTTTGTCCTTTTCTGGCAGCTGGTTTTTTATCCTTTTTTGCTCGCATCAACGATTTGTATAATAGATTTGAGTACCTGAGAAAACACCCTTTTGTTTCGCGAATTATTTTTAAGACGAAATATACAACGCGACGGGAATTTATTATCACTGCACGACAGAGCTTGAAATTAATTTGTAAAAAATAAGTTAGTTTCGTGTAAAAGAAGGTTTGGATTACTTGCTGTACAATTACTTAGTTTCATTTTCGATTCGTGCATATTAAATACGATAACTGACAATGTTTTAACCGATTTTTAACCTTCGAAAATTTAATGCCAATCATAAAAATAAAATTGTGCTGCGTCTTTTGATCATGTTTTCTGAAATATCCATTTAGAAGGCTACATTTGGCGAGATCAATCTGATTTTTCGTAAATGTCTTGAGTTTCTTGACAGATACAGAAATATGTATGCTTTTAATGTTAAACAAGTTTAATAAAATTTCACACAGTTAATGGTTAAATTAACAAAACCTTTTATTAAAAATTATTGATATTTTTAATTCGAACAAATTTCCAGACATTTTGGCATTTAAACAAACAAGCTGTGATTTGGTAGCAAAATGTCCAATGTCCGACCGCTATTTGAGTGTTGTCCATCATGACTAAAATAGTTACATTTATACACTAGTACTTATATATATATAGTAATAATTTCAGGTCTACGTGAAATCTGAAGGCAAAATGGGAGTACCAGTGTGGAGTCGTTCTGGAAACTATGGTGACAGATGGCATCAAGCAGAAGTTGCTGTGAACAATCAAGCGGCGTCTTATCAGGTGAGCATGTACAGACAAGTGAGCACCAAATATAACTTAGTTAAAAGCTATAGGCGGGTATAAAATACGAAATACCTACACCTGCTTGTTTAAGAGCAAAATATTTCTATTCTTGATTCACCAATTAATGCAATGCGTCGCACTTTTCTACTTTTCTTGCAGTATGTAATTGAAGGTGTGCGTGGTGTAAGACCGTTAAGGGGAGGCATTGCAATTGATGATATCTCTCTTAGAGATTCATGTACTGCAACAGGTAAATCACTTATATAACAATAATTGTATTGTCCGAATTAAGAAATAGAAAGATTTAACCTTTGACCAAACTAAGTGGAAAATTATTTTTATATGGCCCTTCTATCTCATCCTTTAGGGCCTGTTTACATGGAGGTAGGGTGACCCTATCAAGAGGGTTACTCTAGCAAGCTGGTCAGAATATAGCGAGCGTTTACATGCATGAAGTAGGGTGACCCTACTGCTAGGGCTATATTGGCCGATAGGGTAAACCTAACTATGCGTGGTCGCTAAGCCATCTGCATTAGATAAATGGCGCCGAAGCAAATTTTTTTCCGTAGACAGCCGGACTCCTCATTGATAGTCGGACGCATCATTGACCCGCGCTCTTAAACAAAATATTCAGCGGATACTCTTCTTATTAGATGCGCCTTTCCTGTGTGTCATGCGCACGCAATTGGTGATTTCAAAATGATCATTGCTTGCTTGAAATGTCAAAATCGGGGAGGACACATTGTGGCTTCACATCTTGTGTGGTGAAGACATCTGACATATTTTATTAATTTATATTCGACATTCCCAATTTCCCACTTGCTTTTCTTTGCTTTTGTAACTGTTTTTTGTAACTCTTTTCGGAGCGATTGCAGAATACCCGTCCAGTTTTTAAGCTATGCCTTGCAAACATCATGGATACGATGTATTAATACATCTATCTTTATTATCAATAGATTAATTAATAACTAGATTGATAGATGAAAATCCCATGGTGGTAAAGGTAGCTAAGAGGCATACGGTGACTTAGCATTAATAGCTTAAATTGTCATTATAGTGTTAAATGTAATTCTATATTCTAGTGGATACGCGGATACGCAGTCAAATTTGAGAACGAGGAATGCAGTTAAATTAGCATTAGATCAAATTTTCATGCTACAGCTAGGTAGCTCTATATTTTAGTGGATACGCGGATACGCAGTCAAGTAGTTATTTTGAGATTAAGGCAACAGTTATTTAGCTTTAATAGATTAAATTCTCATGCTACTCTTACCCCTAGGGTAACCCTAGCGCGCATGTAAACGCTTCCTATAAAACATATTGAAGTAGGACAACCCGCTTGCTAAGGTAACCCTTCTGCTAGCTTCATCCTACCTCCATGAAAACAGGCCCTTAATCGCATGTATAGGTAATAAAATATTTTTACAATTTTAGAAAAACAACCTAGTAAACCGACTACCGTAGATAACAATGGAAATACGAAGGTGACAACAACATTTACAGTCTCCACTACGCCGGCAATTTTATCATCACCAACCACCTGTTGCCCGGAAGGCAAGTGAGATTTTTGTCTAATAGACAATTTCCATTATAGACTAATTTTAAAATTAGTCAAGTAAACCCGAATAAATCAGCATAGCTAGAAAGAGCATACTAAAATTAGTAAAATACAAAGTTTGGTTGCGAAATGTTGTAAAATGAGGAAAATATAGCCTTGTAAAATTCGCCAATTTTGTATACTTTTGTATTGCTTGCGGAAATTCCTACCACATTCCTACCACATTTAGGTCGAAAATGTCGCACGCAATACAAAAGTATACAAAATTTTCAAACTTTGCAAGGCTATATTTTTCACATTTTACAACATTTCGCAACCAAATTTTGTAATTTTATTAATTTTAGTATGCTCTTTCTAGCTGTGGTGATTTATTTGCATCTCCTTGCCTAGTTTTAAAATTAGTCTATAATGGGAATTGTCTATTAGGTAGCGATGTTGTTGTTTTGTGGTTTACCGTTAAATTTAGTAGTTACCGTAGTTTAAATTAACGTGCATAGTGTTTGGCGTATTAAGGTTTGCTTTCTACAGGGTGTCTAAAAAACTTAGGAGATTTGAAATTTCTCTCAATTTCGCAAAACAGCTCGTGGTATCAAGTTTTTTTATATGTCGATCCTTGAGTACCCATAATGTAGAATAATGAAAAAAATACTCGAAGTCAAATTGTGGAAACAAGGTTTCTTTTCGAACAAACTAAAAATGGCTTGCGCACGAAATTTAAAAACTTTAAAGTGCCTAAGACACGAAATTTCACCTCAAACGTTTATGGTTGCATTGTAAAGATTACTTAAAATGACTTAATAATTTCGTTTTTAGAATTTTGGTAACTTGCTCCCTTTTCAAGATATTAAACTTTGTTTCATATGCAAATATCACCGGTGTGACATTACATCACATCATGAGTTTTCAGAAAAGTATAGTTTTGTTGACGAATACGTATTTGAAAAACTTAAAAATTTCTCTTGTATTTGTATTAATTTCATAACTGGTAATTAACCGTCTGTAATTGTTTGTAAAAATATTTTATCAAGGTAAAATACTGCGTTTTCAAAATGTCATTATGCGATGTCACACCGGTGATATTTCCATATGAAGCAATTAAGTTGAATATCTTGCAAAGGAAGCAATTTACCAAAATTCTATAAAATAAATTAAGTCATTTTAAGCGAACTTTACAATGCAATGCAATCATAAACATTTGGGGGGAACTTTCGTGTCATAGGCACTTTAATCGTGTTGTGGTGATAATGAGTTCAATACTAGAAAATCTGTTGGGTTTTCAATAACTGTACAAAATTTCAGACAAGTTGGTTTAGTTTAAGTTTGGCCTTTAACTATTCATTTCTCCTAAAAATTAGGCTTTCGCACGCTTAAATAAAAGATCACAAATATACGTAGCCATTTACATAATAATGAGTTGTCCAGTGTCCCCAATGACCCGCTAATTGCTTCTCCTCTGACAGAATCGAATGTCCGGCAGTTCTCCGAATTCACTTCCCTTTCTAAATCTGATGCTAATGTATTAATTAGCCGTTCTTCGTTAAAGACGTGCCACCTTGATCCAGTGCCATCCAAGTTAGTTGCACAATGTGATGCATTACTACCTGTAATAACAAGAATTAGCAATCTCTCACTTCAATCTGGTTGCTTGCCGCTTAGCTGGAAAGAAGCACTTGTTCGTCCACTCTTGAAGAAAATTGGTCTTGAAGCTACCTTCATGAATTTTAGGCCCGTGATCAACTTTCCATTTATATCCAAGCTCGCTGAAAGAGCTGTATTCGAACAGACACGTATTCATATGGTAGATAACGATCTGTTTTCTATCTGCGCAATCATCATATCGAAGGAATCATAGTACTAAGACTGCTCTTCTGAAAGTGAAGAATGACCTTTTGATGAACATGAATGAGCAACATGTCTCGCTCCTTGTACTACTGGATATGAGTGCGGCAGGGGCGGCGGAACAGGGGGGGGGCTAGGGGGCTAAGCCCCCCCCCCAGAAGTAAAAGTAGGGAGGGGCTTAGCCCCCCCAGAAAATTTTTTTTCTGGAAAAATTGTGATAATTAAGGAAAAATTAAGGTCATTTTTTGAAAATTTAGGTATAAGGGGGAAAATTTGCAATATTTTGTTAAAAAATTGTGTATGTTGGGAAAAATTTTTTGTTACAGGTCCGGAAAAAAATTTTCGTCCCTTTTCTTGAATATGTCCGGAAAAAATTTTGTACCCCTAAAATGGTACACTGACCGAAATTTGTTTGGGCGACGGGGGGGCGGGGGAGGTCACGGAAAAAAATTTAGCCCCCCCAAAATGAAATCTGTTCCGCCGCCCCTGGAGTGCGGTGTTCAGTACGGTTGATCATCGTATTCTTCTTGAGCGTTTATCATCCAAATTTGGTTTTACTGGAGGTGCTTCTAGTTGGTTCCGCTCTTATTTATACCAGAGATCTCAGCGCATAGCGATTCGCGGAACAGTTTCCGAGAAGTTTGATGTGTCTCATGGTGTTCCTCAAGGTTCTTGCCTGGGGCCTTTATTGTTCACAATTTATGCCAGCAAACTATTTGACGTAATTGAGAAACACTTACCAATATCACATTGCTATGCAGATGACACGCAATTGTATATTGCATTTAGTCCAACTGAAGAACGTGGTGAGTCAGATGCTGTCATTGCCATGGAACGTTGTATCGAAGACATCAGGGTGTGGATGTCTGAAGACAAATTGATCATGAATGCTGATAAAACTGAATTTCTCCTTATTGGTACAAGACAGCAACTCGCTAAGGTCAACCTCAGCCATATCACAGTTGGTGCTATGGACATTGCCGCTCAACCTGTTGCTAAGAATCTAGGAGTATGGTTTGATTCTAACCTCTCCATGAGCACCCACATTTCAAAGACATGCTCTTCTGGATTTTACTTTCTATATAGTATAAGACGCATTAAAAAGTACCTTACTACAGAAACGACCCAGACAATCCTACATGTAGGCCGTTAGCTGTGGCATGAAAACGTTCAGTTCCGTCGCCCCCATCGCGGTGCTAAAATATTTTAACGGGAATTAGGAGATTAAACTATGCTGATTTTAAATATCTTTGTTCCCACGCGCCAAAACCCGCTGTTTTTTCGCAATGTAAGGCCAAAGTTTGATATTTTCATCCACTAACCGCCATCTTGAATTCCGCGGTATGTTTGATCTTTCAACATTATTACTTGAAGTATTGAAAGTAACGTGGGCTCATAAACAACTCAAATTCATAAATATGGATGAAGTACCTAGCATAACGCTTTCTGCGCGGCAATGTTTTATACATTTTAAAGGTAAATTTGGCGAATTGTGTCATTTAACACATCATACAAATTAATACAACTTCTAAAATCTTAAAATATTATGAAAATTGGGTTGATTTCAATGATTTGGATGAGAAAAAGAGACTCAACTCGCGACAAATATTTCGTAGCGTGTCATACATTGGTCACTTATATTTTATATTAGACTACAGTGTACAATTTGTAGCGGATTATTTTGCCACTGACATGAATAACTGTTCAAAACTTTGTATTAGATAAATTATAATAAGAATTTGTACAATCATTCGAAGATACCAATACGATTAAATACACATAATTTGTAGGTTGCTTATTTCTCAATGGCCTGGTGATGTTCTTCCTTTATACTTCCTCACCACTCTAGTTCACCACTCGCACACAGTGAATGAGAAATCTTTATTATATATTCTTATTAAGTCATCCTTGTAACACTGCTGGACCCGATTTTACACACAGACATATCAGTGGTTTTACCCCCTATGACGAAAACACCATTCACCAAACGGCAATATTTTATTCGTTTTGAAGGTAAATCTGGCGATTTGTGTAAGTTAACACCTCATACATTTGCTAAAATTAGTGAATATTGCAAAAAGTGGATTGATTGGGATGGGAACAAAGCACGATCGCAGCAAATATTGCCGAACTTATAAAACGTTGGTCATTCCATTCGGAAACGGAGCTAGTGCGAGATGAAATTGCTACGGAAATTGCAAACTTGTGATATCACAAAGAGTGCTATGTTCGTTTTTGTGATAAAACAAAAATCGAAAGAGCCGAGAAAAGAATAATTAAGAAAAAGGCAATGACTGTCGATGCATCCACCAAAGGTGAACCGAGCACTCCTGTTGCTAACCACCCGGCACCTGTACATGTACGTATATCACCACGAACATTGATTAGCGGTAGTGAGGGAATGACCAGAAGAAACAGGCACGTCCTACCAGAACAATGCATAATTTGTAAGAGACAGGAAACGTACAAGGTGGAGAAGGTACTGTAAAAATAACCTTATTATTATTATTATTATGATTATTATTATTATGATTATTATTATTATTATTATGCTATCCTTTCAAACCACTAATTAATTAGTTACAATTATTTTGTAGGCTACTAGGAAAAGAAAAATAGATAAACTGGTTCTGGCGGAAACCTTTGACGGAGGTCTTTTACGGGAGGCTGCAGAAAAGAAAAAGGATGAGTCAATTTTAGCACAAATTAGAGGTAAAGACTGTGTTGCCATAGAAGTACGTTACCACAGGCATTGCCATTTGGATTACTGCAGATTCTTAACCCGAAAATTGACAGTTAGTAAGCCAAATGATGAACTATACCAATCAAGCTACACTGCCTTCTGTTCGAAAGCAATTGACGAAAAGCTCCTTAAGAAAAAACAAATAATGAGAATGAGGGTATTACATGAGATCTTTGTGGAACAAGTTATGAAGACTGAAAGGCTTGATGCATCCAATTACCGTCCTACTCGTCTTAAGGCAAGATTACAAAGAGACTATCCACAACTTGTCTTTCACCGTCCTATAGTCAGAAATCGAAGCGAACTTGTCTTTGTTGAAGAGCTATCAGTAGGTGAAGTAGCAGAAACCTGTGGAACAGCAGATACTGAAGGAGCAGACTCAGAAGAGAGTGACAGCGACGAGGAAATGATTAGTGAAACTCCAATTGATAAAAAGGAAGTCACCTTGAAGGAGTATTATGATGTTGCTATGGCTTTACAGAATGCTATAAAAGGAGCCCGAGCTATGGATTCATCTTGGCCACCGTCATCTGTCGATCTCTCCACGACCCAAGTGCTGAAGATGGTCCCATTTGTGCTGTTTAATTTTATTGCTTGGATATTGGGCTTCTCAGATTACCCAGAAATGTCATCTCATCTGAAACTAGAAGATTCCCACATGACGAAAGTCCTATCTATCTGCCAAGACATGTTGTACATAGCGTCAAACGGGAGAAAACAAACACCGAAATCGCTAGCACTGGGTATGGCTGTAAGGCAGCTCACACGGTCGTCACAACTCACGCAAATTTTGAATGGTTTTGGCCACTGTGCAAGTCATTCTGCCATCTTAACCTACGAAACAGACTTGGCTAAGTTAGCTATAAAATCAGACTGCTGTATTCCAAAAGATACAGAAAAACATAAATTTACTTGTCTGGTGTATGATAACGACGACTTCACAGAAGATTCTAGAAATCAAACCCATATACTCGGAGGTATATTAATTCAACGAGAGGATTTATCCGGCAATGGACCAGTAGTGGTTACACAGCAGCTAAAGAAGGGTGGGAGAACTCTTCAGGCTCCAAGTGAAAGTATAATTCCGTACAGCCTTGGCAAAAAACAGACACCAAATTTTTTAGGTACATCACTTTCATCAACTTTTTATGAAATCAACGTCTCATTTCATCAAGATCTTGCTAAGAGGTTGGATTTTGCCTACTTTATGATGAAAATGCGCCAAAATTACGTCGGTATTGTACTTCCGGGTTGGACAGGTTTCAACATTCTTTTAAGGCAGTCTGCAATACCACCACTGTCTCGAATCAGATACTTGCCAATAATTGATGGATCCCCCAGTGACTACTCAACACTGTACACTGCTCTTTTAAAGAGCATCAATATTGCTGATAAGCTGTCTCTAGAGCACATCGTTCTGGTTTTTGATGAAGCAATCTACGCAAAGATTCAGCAGATTAGGTAAAGATTTTAGTCTATGGTGAATGACAGTTTTACCAAGTTTCTCGAATTCCTATTTACTGGCAGCATTAATGCAATACATCTCGCTTTCATGTTTGACATTAATTGTTTGTTTCCCTTTATATCTTAAATTAGATGGAAAGATGAGATTTTTATGAAGAGGTTCGTTGTCAGACTTGGGGAATTCCATGCCACCATGTCGTTCCTGAGTGCCATAGGAAACATGTTTAGAGATGCTGGGTTACAGGTATATGTTCTCTCTTATACATTTGTGAGAAATATAACTTTACAGTATTAAGGTAGCTGTATTTTTGTAATAGTGAACTTGCATTGTTTTAGGACATACTTATTGAATCCGATGTTGTTGGACAAGGGCAAATTAAAGGTGTAATGACTGGAAAGCATTATAATAGAAGTATGCATTGCCACAAAGTAATGAGCGAAGCCCTGCACAGACTTCGATTCCAAGCATTCTTAGATAGTGTTAGTGATGAAGAGTCCGCTAATATCTACTCAGTCGTGTCTGACCTGCTGAATAATTTTCCAAGCGAGGATTTTCAGGAGAAACTTACTGCGGAACCATTCTCGGAAATTCTTGATAAGTATGAGGACTTTGTGGTTCAGGAAAGTGAATGTAACCCAACGTTTTCATTGTGGAGTACCTACCTTGAAATGATCGGTATTCTTCTTCAATTTGTACGGTGAGCTTATTAATTGAATTGCGAAGGTTTGCAGCTAAAATATTTTTAGTCCTCAAGCAGCTTTTTTGCTCATAAGTTGCATTAGGGAATTAAAATGTTTTGACTCCTTTAGAGCTACACGAGAAGGAAATTGGGAACTTCATCTATCAACAATGCGTTCAATGCTTACATGGTACTTTGGATGTGATCGAGTGAATTATTGCCGTTATGGAACGGCATATTGGCTTGAAATGACAAGACTACACGAGACACATCCAGGTAATACACGGTTAATGCAGCCATATTTTTCATTTGATACTTAGTCTAGCATTCACAATTGTAGTATCGCAATGAAAAATAGGCTGGTACACTGAGTGGTGTGAAATCATTACATGCTATTGAATTAATTATGTGAATAGGTACTTGTTTGCACCCTTTTTCCCGTTTTTAGCATTATTGAGAGATCTTCGCGATCAATGGACAGTACAACGCCAACAGAATCATGGGTTTTCCTCTGTCGCATGCGATATGACTATTGAACAAACCTTAAATAGAGATTCAAAAACAAAAGGAGGTAAGAATAAATTCATTTACAGTTCGCCAGTGGTAACTGTACCCACTCTTAAGAGTACATATTCTTAATATTTCAGGAATGGTTGGAATAACGTTAAACAGGGGTGCTATGCAACGATGGATTATTGCTCAATCTGATAGGTCTGCTATCACAGGAGAGTGTATGAAAATGGCCGGCACTGATCCAACTAAAAGGTATATAATGCAAAATAACTTTTACTATTAACAAGTACATGACTATTTTTATTTAATCACAAAATTTACAGGCATACCAATACCATAACTTCGTACAATAATTGCTTGCTACCTCCGAGCACATAAGTAACAATTTCGTTATTATTTAAACTTAAAATTTATAGAAAAAGAAAGGAATTAGACATGCCACAAAGAACTCGCCATGAGAAAGATGTGTTGAGTATAGTAAACACGCTTCAGAACATGGTAAATCCTTTTGAAACTGATACTGAAATAACAGATATGATTCACTTGTCAAGTGGACTAGTAGCTACACCAGATGTAAAGGCAGACTTACTAAGAACAAAACAACGAGGAGAAGAATGCGTGACTGCTTTTCTAAAAGACAGGTTGCTAGTTTCGGAGCCTGATATCTTCTCAACGATTCCTAAGCTAAAATTGAAAACCTTTTCGTCAATGGCTAAGAAAGTTAAAGTTAGTTCAGCAAAAGGTGTGGAAGCCACCATTAAGAATAACCGTAACTTGTTCGCTCGAATGCTCTTGCTGGCGCAAAGTAGAAATGTGGACATGAAGGAATTGCTCTCTTATTCTTTGGGTCCATTTCCTTTATCTCTTTCAACCGAGATGGGCACCTTGCACAAGACCCAGAAAAGCAAACTGATGACGTCAATCGAATCAAGTGTCCAAAATCACACAGTCGACAATGTTCCGGAGGGAAACGCAATCATTCTTGATGGAATGGCACTCATTCAAGCTACAAAGAAGCTACCTTCATCGTTTGGAGAATTTGCAGAGCAATTGTTTTCAAGGGTGATAAAGCTGGCAATTTATCACAAATCTTCACGTGTCGATTTTGTGGTAGACAGATATCCTGATGTGAGCATTAAAAACCTCGAACGGAACATTCGGGCAAGTGGTGGATTAGCAGTAATCAATATATATGGAGCTGACCAGAAACTACCAGCACAATGGGGCAAGTTTCTTAAGCATGGTCGAAACAAAGAAGCACTCATTCGGTTTTTGTTTGAACAGTGGTGTACATACACATCGATGATGTTTAGTGGTATTGTGGTCTACGTTTGCCATGACGACAAGTGCCATAGCCTTAAGCCAGGACTTGACAATGCACCTAATATTATTCGAGAAATATCATCATTATCTTGCGATCACGAAGAAGCCGACACTAGAATGCTACTTCATGCAAATCATGCGTCTCAGTCACATGGAAGTATTGTGATAAAGAGCCCGGATACGGACGTCTTCATTATTATACTTTATTTTTGCCATATTCTCCAATGCGAACTATTTTTTGAGACTGGTGCGAATGAGAAAACTCGGATCATAGACGCCAGATGTGTTCAACAGCAGATTGGTGAGAAAGAAGGCAAAGCATTAATTGGATTTCACGCATATACCGGTAAGCAATAACTAGCTACATTATATTAATAATTAGGGTGCCGTTTCGTTAATGATTTAGCTAAAAGTGAGGTAGATGTATAGTAGCCACATGTAGTTTGTAAGAACACAACAGCTTGTGCATCACTGGATCAATTTTAGTTCCTTTACCATTTCTAGGGTGTGATTCTACGAGCTCATTTTATGGTCGAAGTAAGATATCAACCTGGAAATTAGTTTCAAATGACGAAACAGCTCTCGACACATTTGTGCGTCTTGGTGAGGACTTTGACGTTGATGAATCCATTCAGGAAAACCTCGAATCACTCACATGCATGCTATATGGGGCTAAGGATACCACATCTGTCAATAAAGCAAGATATGACATGTTTAGGATGGGTAAATTCTCTGATGCAGCATTGCCTCCAAATGAGGATTGTCTTGTACAACACATCCAGCGAGCAAATTACCAGGCCGCAATATGGAAAAGAGCAACAACTCCAACAATTGACGCGCCTTTACCAACTGATCATGGATGGAAGATTGATGAAGAAGGAAATATTGATGTGGTGTGGATGACAAAGAAATGTGCTCCTGATGTACTGCTCAAAGATTGCAACTGCAAATGTAAAACCGGCTGTTCAACCCTAAGATGCTCCTGTAAAAAGGCCAACAACCAGTGTAATGAAATGTGCCAGTGTGTTGGATGCACAAATTGTCCACACGAGTCCAGCGAAAGCGGTAGCCTTGAAGATGATTCAGAAGATGATCTGGGTAGTGATATGGAGGAAGAAAACTTGTAGTATTGTATAGCACAACACCGCGATGCAACACAGCTGAAATTTGTGCTATCCTATTGTAGAAATGCAAAACTTATATAATCAAATAGTATTTATTATATTTCATTGACATTGTGTTGATATCAGTTCGAGTAAATACGTTTTAGTTTATTTTGTTATTAATTAATTTATTTTCCGTTGAATACCGCTAGTGTAACAGCTGTATACTAATGACAAATTTAGGTATAAGGTATTTAAATTAATAGTGTACAATATTAAAGTAAAGTATTTGACCAATGTTTGAATGTTTGATACGTTGTGCAACATTTGTCGCGATTTGAGTCTCAAATTAACCGACTTTTCACAATATATTTAGATTTTATCAGTTGTATTAACTTGTGTGAGATGTTAAGTGACACAATTCGACAGATTTACCTTCAAAATGTATACAAAATTCCCAAGCAAAGACAGTTTTGCCAGCCATATTTATGAATTTGATTGTTTATGAGCCCACGTTACTTTTAATACTTCAAGTAATAATGTTGAAAGATCAAACATACCGCGGAATTCAAGATGGCGGTTAGCGGATGAAAATATCAAACTTTGGCCTTACATTGTGAAAAAACAGCGGATTTTGGTGAGTGGGAACAAAGATATTTGAAATCAGCATAGTTTAATCTCCTAATTCCTTATAAAAAATTTTAGCACCGCGATGGGGGCGACGGAATTTGATTTCTAACCACATTTTGCCCACACAGCTAACGGCCTAAAGAACACGGAGATCTATATGTTTAAATTGTAACTCCCGCCGAAGTTTGACCAATGTTATCAACTGTTGTTTTTAGATATCTGTATGTAACCTATACGCCAAAAGGGCCCGCAGTAATTGGTTTTAACTGTTGTGGTGTCCCCGCCATTCGTCACTTGTAGTATAGTTTTTGTAGGCTATTTGTATTGTATGCATGTCATTCGTGTAATTTTAACCTGGCGAAGTTATAAATAAATAAATAAATAAATAGACTATATACATGTCTGGATGAAAGAAAACTATTTATTGGACTTTTGGTAAACTTGATTTCTACCTCATTCCATATCATCATTGAAAGCTTTGTATAATGAATGTAAAAACATATCCAACACAAAACGTAGCCAAATTGGTCAAACGTGATAACATGGTTTGCTCAGAAAATTGTTATTCACTCTAACGTGCGACCGTTCTCCAGTCTATTTCAACCAATTAACTACTGTTATAGAACATAGCTACAAAGTTGAAAAAGAAATGGAATCATCGACACGCTAAACGTTGTCTACCCAGCTACTTTCATATATGCAATCGGCACTTTTCACAGGGTGTAGATAAAAGGCGGACCGCGGACGGCAGACCGAGGACGGCGGACCGCGGACGACGGATGGCGGACAGCGGAGCATTTTATAAACACATGGTTACTACCGCAACTAATTATAATACCCTAAATTAAAGTATACCAGCCTTAGATCTGTGAAATGAATATGTTTTAACCCGTTCAAATTTTTAGCAATGGAATATTTTAATCAGCATCCAATACGTATGTATGATAGGAGGCTGTTCCCGTCTTTCGCCGGTGAAACTTTTAGAAATATTGTTAAAAAAGCGCCTTAGTTTTGGTGCTTCTGTATATAACTGCCCTAACACTGCCATTGAATTAAAATATTATTAGGCGGGGCTATTACATGACATTCATTTGCTGTCATTTTTATACTTTAAATTGTATTGACTTATAATCCCCGTTTTACTTGCTAAAAGGCTACACATAGGCTTAAAAGGCTACACATATTGAAACAACTATAGCCGATAGCAACAATTTGAATACGAAATCGATACCACCCTTTCCCGCAAAGCGTGGTTTCAAACTAGCTTCGTTAAATATAGCTAGTTTGATAAAACATATAGATGAACTGAGAATTCTGCTTGTCAATTATCCAGTAGATATCTTCTCAATCAACGAAACTAAACTTGATAATTCGATTAATGATTGCGAAATACATATCCCTGGGTATGAAATACTTCGCCGAGATAGAGACCGACATGGTGGAGGTGTTTGTTTCTACATTAGAACCACTATTAATTTTTCAATACGTGAGGATTTAAAGTTTAAAAATTTGGAAAATTTATGTGTTGAAATTCGAAAACCTCGATCCAAACCATTTGTTGTTGTCAACTGGTATAGACCATCCAATTCTCCTGTTGAGTTGTTTACTTCTTTTGAGTCCCTTATCGGACGACTTGATGCAGAAAATATCGAGTTTTATTTAATGGGTGATTTTAACTGTAATTTAGCTAACGATAGTACTCAGTATGACAACAATACCCATCTGCTGTCGAGCATTACCGATACATATGGTCTTCAGCAGTTAATCAATGAGCATACCCGTATTACGAAAACAACTTCCACCTTGATCGATCTAATTTACACTAACTATCCAGACATGGTAGTTTGTTCAGGAGTCTCGCATTGCGGTGTAAGTGACCATAGCCTAATCTATGTCTACCGCAAATTATCTTTAAATACTGTATCTAGTTAAGGAAATAACTACATTACCTATAGAAATTTTAAGAAGTTTAATCGAGAAAACTTCCGTAGTGATATTTCATCTCAAGACTGGAGTTACAATTTATCTAACACTCAAGACCCTAATCTAATGTGGGCTGAATGGAAAAGTAAATTTTTAACTATAGCAGATAAACATGCTCCAATACGTACTAAGCGTATTCGATCGAAGAACTCTCCATGGATAACATCTGATTTAAAAAAACGTATGCATGATCGTGACATAGCCAAAATAAAAGCAGGGGCGGATCTAGGGGGCATGATCAGAGCGATCACGCGACTAAGGTAAAAATTGGCCAGAAAATTGTTAAATTAAAATAGCAGTCCAGTTATCAAACTTCGCGCAGTGTATTGTATTGAAAGTTTAACAGTCCAGTTATAAAATATCATCCAGTAGCAAGGCGCCCTTCGAACATGAACGCGCAGAAAAGCGGTCTTACGCATGCGTTTTGCACGCTCTTAGTCAGATTCCAGATTCCAGATCTCGATTTTTGCGCGATCTGTGAGGTGTTCTGATCGCTAAAGCGATCAGGGGCTCGAATACAAGCTATCCGATTGGTTAATTAAAAAAAAATCCTGCATTCCCGTTGGTTGGATTTTTTTAATCGATCATACCGTTCAGGCTAATAGTATGCACAGAAAGGTCAATGACGTTGCTGGATCTTTCTGATCTACCAGCAGTATTTATGTAAATTGACTGAAATATTATGTAAATTTCGTCTCTTATTATTATACGCGCACCCGCCGATTTTATAGCATGTGCGTTTTATAGCATTCGGAAAATTTATCAGAAGTTCTAATTCTTCCAAACTAATACTAGCCATGTCTGTTGGTATTTACGAAACCGCAAAGGCTGCTTTAGAGAAAGATGATCGACAATATCTTAATATCTTATGTTTGTATGGGGCGCCGTTTGTTTCAATAATACTTCTGTCGCAAATATAATACTTATTTCAACATATAATAGTTCATATCACATTTATAAAACATGTGATCATTTATATAAAATATATCTCAGCTAATATAAAACACAACTCCGCAAATATAATACTTCATCTCAAATATAATACTTCATCGCAAATATAATACTTCATCTCAAATATAATACTTCATCTCAAATATAATACTTCATCTCAAATATAATACTTCAGGGCAAATATAATACTTCAGCGCAAATATAATACTTCGGCGCAAATATAATACTTCAGCGCAAATATAATACTTCGGCGCAAATATAATACTTCGGCGCAAATATAATACTTCAGCGCAAATATAATACTTCAGCGCAAATATAATACTTCAGTGCAAATATAATACTTCAGCGCAAATATAATACTTCAGCGCAAATATAATACTTAATCTCAAATATAAAACTTGTTGCGCAATAAGAGCCCGCAATATATGATCCATTACATGAAGTACATGCCTTACCCATGTTTTCAACATGGCCGACCAAGCGTGTCCATCGTCATCGTCTTCAACGCAAAACAATCTGGTGCAACAGTTATGTAGGCTTGTAGAAAACCTACATAAACAAAATAACACCACGCAAAGACGGGCAGATACCCGAGATAATAGGCCTGAAACCGTTGGGGAAGCCATAAGTAGATTATTTCCAAGCGTAAATGGTAGATCGAATAATTCAAGTGCTCAGGTTACAACAACCCAAGGCGAAGCAAGCGGCACCAGCAGTGGTAATCATAATGGGGCTTCAAACAGTGTACCTCGTTTTGAACCACAACAGGGCGCACCGAAACAAGGGAAACGAAAAAAGCCGTACTCTAAGAAAAAATCCTCTGGATCCGCTGGAGTAATGAAGGATATCATACTGCTGCCAAATCCCAGGATGAAATTGTTGCCACGTGGTCGTATTAGAGAAGAGCTATATGTTCGAGGATTTGTCACGACAGCCGTCAACTTACATCACCAATGAAATGACCGCTTCGGAAATTGAAGGGCACTTTGCAACCTTGTTTTCAAATAAACTGAAAGGAAGACCTTTCAACTTTGTGAGGGCTGTTGGGAACAAAATCGTCGATGTTAATCTGGCCCAAGGAATCACAGGAAAAATTTTAAAGCACATATGTGGACAAGGTCCAGTGTATTTGCGTTGTGTTCGACCCACAGATACAGAATACGCATGGGTTGAAGAGGAAGAAGATTCAGAAGATGATGGTATTGATGGGGTTGATGAAGGTGAGAGGGGATTGGACGATCTTCCCGAAAGTGGTTTGGGTGGTGGCAGTCATACCGTGTCTACTCCAGTTACAGCTCATAGTGCCAATGTGGTGCAAGTAGATGATAATGTGACTAGTCGGTCAAACACGTTGAACAGTGTACGAAATACTGATATTTTGCAATATTTTTCCACCCCAGCATCGAGTACATCCAATCAGTCACTGGTTGGTAGTGTAGCTTGCCCTACATGTCATGTGCAATTCCCAGTTAGGGAAATTGAACAGCATGCTGACCAATGCTGTGAAAGAGTTTCCTCTGAGGCCTCTCTCTATGAGACATGGGTTCTTAATCCAATAGACCTCACAGGTGAGAATATACTATTACTTTTTAGTGTTTTATATAAATAATGCATGTACAGTATGTGTGTATATACGATATTGGAGTAATGGGGTGTACATGCCGCAATGTAAATATGTATTTAAACTATTCAGGTGACGATGATGTCATGGCCGAGGAAGACAAGGATAGCCAACATGTGAATGATATGCAGACTGACACAGCCACTACTTCAAAAGAGCTTATACAAAATCTTGCATTGAATATACCAAGTGCTACTCAGCTGATATCTGTTCGCCGCAAATTTCTGTGGGATGATTATGTGACTTGTAGGAAGAAATCATGGTTCAAGACATATGCATGGTTGCGAGTTCATTTCGTTGGTGAAGAGGCAGTGGATGGTGGTGGGCCTCGTCGGGAATTCTTTACTGGTAAATATGGCAACAGTGAATATGGACTCTTTATATATATAGGCCAAATAAAGACTGTAGACTGACAGTCAAAAGCTGGTTTTTAAATAAAATTTACAATCAGGTCCATGGGCCAAAAATTAATATGAATAATCCTGGTCGTGCGTCTATCATTTTTAATCTATAAAACAGATTTATTGAATAAGGCGTAAAAAAATACCTGTGGTTCTGGTTTCATATTGCGAAAAAATTAGGGTTGGTAGGTCGGAAATAATTTTTTTTTGAATATTTTTTTCATGGTTTTTTTCAATAATTAGTGTGACAACAGACTGACACCATTTTGGCAGTAGCCCGCAACCACCTGGAGAAAATAGTGTCACACGGTCAATCGCGTTGCAAAAATAATAGGGTCGGCCGGCAGTGTGACCAGATTTGGTAATTTTAATTACTTTTGGTAATATTTCGCGATTTTTCTGACTTTTTTGGTAATTGAAAATTTTTGGTAATTATTTTTTTAGTAATTTCTCTTAAACATGAAATTCAACCAAATACACCATAATGTAACAACCTGTTATTCAAAAATTCAATGAGAACAGTTGCAGGTCCATGCTTGCAAAGCTGTACATCCAAATTGCAAGCTTCTGGCCCAAGCTGTCCAGCTGAATGGAGGAAATCCTGCTGATCACCACTCACCCTATGCTGGTTGCGGGCTTAAGGACCCGGGGCCCGGGCCCAATCATGGCAGCATCATATTTGCATTTTGCACAATTGCAACCAAAAAGTACAAGTGAGAAAGAAAAACATGGAAAAAACATAGTTTCAGTGATGGAAAGCGTTTTACTGATTTTGTTCTGCTGAGATGTTTTATTGATTTTCAGACCACTTTGGTTGACAGCGGAAATTTAGTAATTTTTTCTACGTTTTGGTAATTTTTTGCATGCTTATTTAGTAATTGCCTTGCACAATATCTTGTCACACTGTCGGTCGGGAACCACAGGTACTATTTTTACGCCTAAGTGTTACCACGTACGTAGAGGAAATTTTGTTGATTGAAGAACACTTCAAGAAACCTGGATGGAATTTTTTGGCAAGTACTGTAGAAGCAAAAAAAAATTAAAAAACAAAGAAATCTGGAAGGAAATTTTCAGTTTCGCAAGCAGAAACAAAGAAAAAACATGGAAATTTTAATTTTAAAAATATATAAGTTGAAGCACATAGTCATCATATATTTGAGTGAATGTTATTTAGTACGATTATATTTACAATTCAAATTTAAATGCTTGGTGGTGTGGTATAAAATGGCCAATTGGCAATTTTATACCACCAATCTCTCATCCAAAAATCAAATCCTAAAATAAAGTAAAGGCAAGTGTTTGAGCCAAAATATTTAAATTCTTGTTTATATCAGATAAGAAGTCCCATCTTAATCTTGACCAAGAATTTTTAACTAACTTTTGTGTATCAGAAACACAGTTTCCGCTGTATAAACTCATAAAAAAAATGTTGTTATACGCTGTATAAACTCAGGAGGAATTAATCCTACTGATTCAAAATTTTTGGTGAACACTCGTAATAATGATATAAACAACATTTAAAACGTCTACTGGAATTGTGTATTTGTTTTATTTTAGAAATGCTGGATGCAATAGAAACCCGTCTTTTTGTTGGCGACCCAGAGACTTTCCAGATTGATAACCAGACAGCAAGAGTTCCATATGATAGTACACTTGCAATGACCAGTGGCCACTTTCAAATTGCTGGAGAACTTATGGCAGCTTCCATTGTCCAGGGTGGTCCTGCGCCAGATTTTTTGGCTGAATGGGTATACAAGTATCTTTCATCAGGGATAGAAGGAATTACGGTTGATGAAAGCAAGATTGAAGATCAATCAGTTAGACAACTTATAACAAGAGTAAGTATATTTTTTATCTTATTTTACCAGATGATTACATTGAAATAGAATAAAAAATATTTATTCAGAAATAATAAAATCTCTATGCATATCTTTATATGTATGTATATATTATGTCTACGCATAAAATACCATCTCACAAACTGTAGGTTTCATTATTTTGTGATTAACCCATTAAGCGGTAGTGCACTCAAATATGCCAGATGTATTTTACTCTAATGCAAGATTATTTTACTTCTAGACTATTTTATTTTGCTTGCATGGGCTACCGCACCATACTCCACTTTTCATTTTTGTTTAAAAAGACTGCGGGATCATTGTGTTTCATTCTTCTATTTGTGGTTACAAACAGTAGACTCAGACAAAAAGTTTCAAGATTTGCTTATGCAAGACAATGTTTTGGACCAACTTTCCAAAATTGGATATAGAGGTGTGCCTCATAGAGAATCATTGAAAAATAAACCATCCCTGATAAGGTATGCTATATGGACACTGTGATATATTGTTTATAAATTAACGTTTGATCTAGTTATTACTTTCATAAAGTGTGTGGCAATTACTGGTTAAACCAAACTAGGACAATTGCATACAAAAATCACTATTGCATACACGCTTTATGTTAGTAGTAAATTTGCGAGTTGTTTTTTTTTGTAGATCTTTATTTATCAAGTATTATCTGACACCGAAATTACCTATGCTCGATCAACTAGCAGAAGGCTTGAAGTTGTTTGGCGTGTTGGAACTGATAAAAAAGCACGAGAATGAAATGAGACAAGTTTTTACTCACAGTGCCAGCAGCATCATCACAGATGATCGATGATCGATCTTCTCAAGCCTATTTACGATGATAACACCCAAAGGAAAGAAATAGAGATTAACACATACAAAGCTATGTGTGACTTTGTGCAGGAACTACATCACAAAGGTTTGTTTTAAGACTAAGTGTTTTCATATAGTACTGTATATACTGTTCAAATGCCATCTTAATTTGAGCAATAAAAATACTTTAAACCCATGACAAGTAGAATGTAAGTTATATACATTTGTGTCTATTTCTTTTCTGTTTATACCTTAGGAATACCAGAATGTGATTTAGCAGTTGGGGATTTGCTCAAGTTCATCACAGGGGTGAGAAAAATACCTGCATTGGGTCTCCCCAAACAGATTGCAATTTACTTTATTCATGAATGTGATCAGGTGAAATGCAAATGCAGACCCAAGGCATCTACCTGTGACTTGCATCTTCGATTGCCTGTACACTACCAAACTGCTGAGGATATGATTGCAGCATGGATGTCTGCTCTGAAAGAGTGCAAAGGATTTGGGCACCTTTAAAGACAATTACCCTAACTTAATTAACTAGCACAATATACAGTACTTTCATTGTTTGATTATTTTGTTTTGTTCTGGGTTTTTTTTTATTTTTGTTTCTAGTTTGTTGAAGGGAAATACCGTTAAAAATTAAGATTGTTTCATTTGAAGGAACTTTTAAAATTATATAGGCTAGCACTTCTACTGATTTTTTATATCGTGCTTAATTCTTGAAATATATTAATTGTTTACAATTGTTTATGTAAAAGTGTATTTGATGTGTTCACTATATTAGGGTTTACAGATTAATAGTAAAGTGAATGCTACTATAATCCTGTCCAACAAATGTTTATTTGCCTTTAAAAATCTCCCAGAACATTATTCATCTGTTGGTTGAATTATAGTAGTTATTGTTTGTACAGCATGATTATATATGTCTATACCATAATTGTGATCGTCTTCAAGAGGATTAATGGCAAGTAGCAATGCAATCATTTGTTCTTCAGTCAACTGTATTGCTGATCTAGGAACTACCACATGATTATTCGTCTGAAGTTCAGGAAGTGGCCCATTATCATCAACACCGTAGTTGATAGGATCAACAACCCGATCTTCCAAAGCAATGCGGACAGCATGTTGATTCGAATTAGCATGACTGTAAAAACCCTCGGTCCATATTTGATAAGGTGTTTTGTTCTTTTCTGAGCTGAGTGGATGGTTGTTCCACTGCAAAATAAATTCTTCAACAGACCGTCGTATCCTTGGCAGGTAAACATAATGAAGTGCATATATATGTACTTCATCCATAGGGTCTAGGAACTGGTGTGACTCCATAAAATAAAATAATCTTTGGTATAAGCCAATGAATGACTGAGCCGCATCACGCCAGAGACGCTCAATCCTTTGGTTATGAACAGATCGCCCTGTTAAAACAGGGTTAGATGTTGTGCCATGATGATCTAGCATCCACTTAGCTACCTCAACATTTTCAGTTCCATGATCACTTCTAATGCGATGTGGAGCATGAAACTGATGTCGAGCATTTGTGAACAAATCCAGCACTGTATTTGCCTCATTGTTTGTGTTGCAACCAAGATACACAATAGTACGGGAAAAGCCATCTATGCCACCATGGATTACTATACGCCAGCGTATAAGTTTATGATTTCCATCTATGTGCCTGTTTGTACAAAAACAATTACACCATACTTACATCTATGTAAATCTGTAATGGCAGCCATGTTGCTGGGTAGGTACGTATGGGAAAGTATTTGCCATTTTGCCTCAGGTTTTCATACAAACTGAGGGACAATGGAGCGAGGTCTATGCAAATAAGACGAATGTCGAAGGCAAGTACTTTCCCATTTACAACTGACTTTTTTATAGGAAGGGTGTGTGGATAAAATAAGAAACAGTGCTGAAAATTTACCTACCACAGACTGTTCAATCCTGTAACATTATAAACTCTTCTCTTTGTTCGCAAACGCCGTCTACACTCTGTTCCAGCAGGATCTACCCGCAACATTGACTCTCTTATTCTTCTCCTTTGAATTCGCAATCCCCGCCCAAGAAGCGCACCTCTCATCATCACCTGTCCAGAGTTGGGTGAGTTTTGAACTATGGACTGAATCACAGCATCAAGTTGTACATCAGTTAGTTCGCTGTAATTATGTTGCTATCCGATCTCCAATTCCCGCCGTCGTCTGTACAATGTTACCCTCGAAACGCCAATCAGTTCTGCTATTTTAGTCCACGAAAAACCAATTTCTCGAAGGCTTTCAATTTGTGCTTTTGTAACACGGAATCGTGGTCTTCCCCTTAAATTTTCACCAAAAGCAGGGTCGTTTTGACAGCGAAATCTGTTGTCCGTTTCTTGTTCTTGCAGGTTTTGAATAACATCCCTGTAGCGTCTTGTGAACTGTTCGTATTGACCAATAAGAGTTTGCAATTTCTCCACTATTTCATGAGAAATTTCATCCTCGCGACATTCAAATAGAAAAAGAAAAATAACACACAAAGAACATGTCCGCTCGGAAGTTGAAAGCATATTATCAGCAATTTCCAATGCTTGAGTGAATTGATTTAATCGTAATTGCTCGTAAACATGAGGCAACCGAGAGAGAAATGTCCTAAATTCGTCTAGAAACGCTTCTATTTCGTCGGCCATGTTGAAAACTTTCATAACATGGGTAAGGCATGTACTTCATGTAATGGATCATATATTGCGGGCTCTTATTGCGCAACAAGTTTTATATTTGAAATGAAGTATTATATTTGAGATGAAGTATTATATTTGCGCTGAAGTATTATATTTGCACTGAAGTATTATATTTGCGCTGAAGTATTATATTTGCGCTGAAGTATTATATTTGCGCCGAAGTATTATATTTGCGCTGAAGTATTATATTTGCCCTGAAGTATTATATTTGAGATGAAGTATTATATTTGCGCTGAAGTATTATATTTGCGCTGAAGTATTATATTTGCGCCGAAGTATTATATTTGCGCTGAAGTATTATATTTGCCCTGAAGTATTATATTTGAGATGAAGTATTATATTTGAGATGAAGTATTATATTTGAGATGAAGTATTATATTTGCGATGAAGTATTATATTTGAGATGAAGTATTATATTTGCGGAGTTGTGTTTTATATTAGCTGAGATATATTTTATATAAATGATCACATGTTTTATAAATGTGATATGAACTATTATATGTTGAAATAAGTATTATATTTGCGACAGAAGTATTATTGAAACAAACGGCGCCCCATATGTTTGCGATGTTACTCTGAGTGCATATCCACACCGGGCGAGCTTGAAAAATATGCCCGGCCACGGTGGGATTCGAACCTACGACCTTTGGAATACTAGCCCTAGCTCTTAATATCTATTGAGACTTTGAGCGCCGTGAACAACACAAGCTTCTTCCTCGCACCGCGAAATTTTGGTGCGGAATCTTACATCCCGAAGTACGTTCGAGAGAAACAAAAAAGTTTTGTACGGCCTTAAGGTAAATATATTCTATTTTAAGTTTTAACTAGATGTAGCATTAATGATCATAGCTGTTGACACAGTAGACCACAGTAGGCTGTAGTGGATAATTTGCGCGTCTGTACGCAATAAGAGACAAAGTTTACATAATATTAATACTGCGGCTTAATACAAGCAGTTTCAGTTTGTTTATACTTTGTTTATGCCTCTTGTGGAATGTGGGCTTTATATATTGATCAGATACTTAATAATACTGTATTATTTATACCTAGTTGTCTAGTATAAACTACAAGCACATGACAGACATGACAATGTGGCATTGGCTTTGTGTAATACGATCTCTACAACATGAACAACAAGTAAAATGGATCATGTTGTCATTGTGAATACTTATGCATGGTACATGTTTCTATTATAAATAAAACTCAAGAAGCAGTGAATTAAACGTGGAAAATCTCTTCCTGCGAATTAACAATCAATCAAATGTTTTATAAAACTGCATCGCTATATTTGAAAATCTTTTGACCATTCATGTAAAAGGACAAAATATGGAGTTATGTGTTTCCTAGGCATGCTGACAAGCCCCGACATTGGGCGAAACAGTCATTTTTCACGTAACATTTTTTTCGTAAAACAGGACACAAATTAATTCGCTTTGCGACTCAGCCCCCCGCTAAAAGTAACCCCCCCCCGCCCCCTCCCTCGATGTTCAGCAACGAAATTTTTGACTAACGTACGAAAAATATACACTCTACTGTCCCTGGTGATTGGGACAATTTTAGAAGATTACGAAATATTGTAAATAAGGAAATTAAACTCGCTAAAGAGTCTTATTGTAGAAATGCATTTATGCAGCACAGTGGCAATTCTCGAAAGACATGGCAGATTGTCAATGACCTGACCTCGCGTAAATCGAAAAGAAGATCTGTCAGGGAATTAAATTTGAATGCTAATTCTATATCTAACCCATCAGATTTATCTAATGCATTTAATGAGCATTTTTCGACAATAGGACCTAAACTTGCTAGTGAAATTCCAGTAAGCAGTAGCCATACGAGTTACACTGATTATCTCATTAACACTGACAAAAGGTTTCAATTCACGCAAACTAACAATGATCAAGTGTTTTCAGTGTTAAGCAAACTATGCAAATCAAAAGCAACCGGTCTTGATCAGATCTCAGTCAGACTTGTTCGAGAATGTGCTGATCTTATTTCTAGTTCCATAACCAATATTTTTAATCTTTTATTAATATTGGGTACATTCCCTGAAGATTGGAAATGTGCCAAAGTTACTCCAATCTTTAAACAAGGTACACGGAATAAAATGAATAACTACCGCCCAATTTCTGTGATTTCAGTAATGGCCAAGGCCTTTGAACAAATAATCTACAATCAACTTTATGCATACATGTTAGAACATGATTTGCTATCCGAACACCAGTCGGGGTTTCGTTCTTTGCATTCAACGGCTACGGCCTTAATTACTTGAGGCCACTGATAGTTGGGCTTACAATATTGAGCGCGACAATATTAATGCCGTGGTATTTCTAGACCTGAAAAAGGCTTTCGATACAGTCAACCATGAGATCTTGTTGTCTAAACTCAGAAACTATGGAATTCACGGAGTTGCCTACAAATGGTTTAAGTCATATTTGGAAGACCGTAGGCAGAAATGTTTTGTTAACGGGTCACTTTCAAAAAAATGTAGTCTTAAGTGTGGAATTCCTCAAGGAACGATCCTAGGACCGCTCCTGTTTCTGGTATTTATTAATGCTTTACCAAATTGGTTATCTAATTCTCATCCCAGAATGTATGCAGATGACACTAATCTTACATATTATGGTAGCGATATAAACACTATATATTCAATTTCATCTTAACGAAGACTTGGAAAACATTAATGAATGGTTAATATCAAATAAACTTACTTTAAATATGACTAAAACTGAGTACATGTTAATTGGGTCGAGACAACGTTTAAGTACTCTTTCTGACAATCCTTCTTTTGAAATAAATGGAATTCCTTTAGACCGAGTTTCGACAAAAAAATCTTGGTGTCTTATTAGACGAAAATCTTACTTGGAGTAGTCATATCAATAAAATGACAAAACGAATTGCTTCTGGTATCGGTGCTATTAAGCGGTTAAGGTCATTTGTTTCATTGGAAACATTGCATGTTATTTACCAAGCTCTAATACAACCACATTTTGATTATTGTAATGTCGTGTTGGAAATTTTTGGAAAACTTTATCTGACAAACTTCAAAAACTTCAAAACCGTGCAATGCGGGTGTTGAACTTTTCCAACTTTGACGCCGATGCCAATAGCTTATTGGAAAAGCTAGGGTGGGATGATCTAAACCAACAACGCCAATTTCAAAAAGCATTGATTACCCCCCCCCCCCCAATAGAAGATTCCCCTTATGACGTTTTCGTAGCGCTTTGCATTTGTAGCCTCGAATGAGAATATAGAATGCGCTTTGCATTTGTAGTATGAACAAAATGGCTTATTTTTTGCAAGAACTTTTAAAAAAGCTAGGGTCAGGTGCGCGATAGCTAACAGCAAAATATTCGCGAAATTTATATATTCTTATTCGTGGCTGCTATCTTTATCAGTGATACCACTATAACCACAATGCAAAGCGCTACGAGAACGTAATAAGGGGAATCTACTATTGTTACTGCAGAAAATATTTGACCTTCTCTCCCCCCCCCCCCTTCAAATCCTCATAGCATCCCTCAGTATTCACCCGTGAGAATGCTCCAATTCCAAATAAAGGTCAATCTCCATACACCTCCATCTCAGATTAGATCATCAATTCCCAACGTGTAGCCAAGCAACTCTCTGAAATTAACCCCAGTAAGGCCTGTGGTCCTGAGGAAATCCCAGCTAGAATCCTTAAAGAACTTTCTCCATCAATTTCGCACTGGCTTTGTTTAATTTTCCAACAATCCTATGATTCTGGTACACTTCCACCTGACTGGTCAAAGGCCCTTGTTTCTGCTGTTTTTAAAAAGGACTTAAAATCCAACCCGGCCAACTACCGTCCAATCTCTCTGACGTGTCTGTGTTGCAAAGTCATGGAACATATCATTCTTAGCCATGTTTGAAAGCACTTAGCATATCATGATATTCTAATTAATGAACAACACGGATTTCGCAAACTATTTTCGTTTGAGACTCAACTAATTACGGCAATCAACGATTGGGCAAAAAGTATCAACCAGAAGAAACAAACCGATGTGATTCTCTTAGACTTCAGTAAAGCCTTTGATTCTGTTCCTCATCTTCGTCTGATGTCCAAATTAGACCATTATGGTATTAGAGGACTTTCCGCCAATTGGATCAAGGCTTTTCTTTCCAACCGCTCTCAAGTTGTCTCGGTTAATGGCTCCCACTCTCACCCTCAACCTGTCATATCTGGAGTACCTCAAGGAACAATTCTCGCACCTGTCTTATTTCTTCTCTATATAAACGATATTTCTGAGAATATTAAATCCCAAGTTTGTTTGCTGACGATGGAATCATTTATAGAGAAATTAATAACGATCACGACCACGTCACGTTACAAGAGGATTTAGACAATCTAAACAATTGGGCTAAAAAGTGACAACTAAATTTCAATTTCTCAAAATGCTACCACCTAGGAATTACAAATAAACGTGTCCCTGAAACATATAGCTATATGATGAATAATCAAATCATTAGCCGAGTATCTTCGACCATCTGGGTTGGGACAATCTCCAACAACGGCGATTGCTTCACCAAGCCACTATGTTCTACAAGATCCATCAAGGCCTTGTTGGAATCAGTCTTCCTGATGACGTGTGTCCTTTGACTAGAGCATCCAGGCTGCCTAATATCTGTCCTTACCGCCAAATTCAGTCCTGTGTCAATGTATATAAGTTTCCATTTTATCCAAGAACAATCGTTACCTGGAATCACATCCCATTTAACAATCTTTGTCAATCAACCCCAAGTTTCAAAATACCTCTATGCCTTCAATTAAGTCACTTAATGTAGCTAATTAGTATCGTTTTGAATCGTTTGTATTGTACTATAATTATGTTCGTTTTGTAGTCTTAGAGTTGTTGTTTCGTTGTTGTTATTGTCGTTTGTCGCTTTTGCCATTGTTGTTGTTAATAACATATAACAACATCATTATATAATCACCGCCTAATATATGTGTCATACAGTGATTATGAAGACTTTCTTGTAAATAAATATAAACATTATCTAGTTTTTCAGTATATATAACTCCTCCTAGTGTAGTATAATACTGTTTTAGGAGTATTTCATTAAAGCATTAAAGTAAAGCACCACATAAATTATGAACCCTCCCTAAGCCAAAGCAATGTGTTGAATTTATTAACCCTGATCTGTATATATATACTATATAGTAGATACATATGATATTGAAGCACAAGCAAAAGAGGGATCAATTAAATTAAAGTCATCAAACGTATTGATTTTTTATTTACGACTCTGTCCTCGCTAGCTACAACGCAATATAAGTACAAACATATCAAAACATTGGGGGGGGGGGGGGGTAAAACCACCCATTCATCACAGATCAGGCAATTGTAAATGTCTTCCAAACTCGGCAAATTGTTTTCGGATTTATCGGTCGGGAATTTTTGTATTTTCGGAAAAATTATGACATGTTGGGAAATTTTTGTATGTCCGGAAAATTTTTTGTATGTCCAGGTAAATTTTGCGATCCCCGCTCGCCAACAATTTTTGGGCAAAATATTAATTATTATTAACGATTAGCTTTATCCTCTTAGCTAGCTACGCCCCTGGTTTTATCTTGTAGTGAGGATACAGTGAGAACAACACAACACTGCGAGAAAAATTATGTCGGCGAAACATGGATGATTGCACTTAGATAGATAGATAGATAGATAGATAGATAGATAGATAGATAGATAGATAGATAGATAGATAGATAGATAGATAGATAGATAGATAGATAGATAGATAGATAGATAGAAGTCTTTATTTAAAGTCATACTGCGCAACAAAACGTGCGAGTTTACAACATTGACCGATTCTTGTATAGTATATACATTTGATACAATTTTAAATAAATAAAAGTACTCGCTAAAGAGACTTTATAAAACTACTCTTAAAACGCTCAGTGCGTATACGTGGTAAAATGTAATTATGTCCACGGTTTCGCAATTGCCTTGTTCTTTCTGGTGGAAGCAAGTCGTATAGGCAATGGTTCGAATTATCCGTAATAGATTTCCATAATTTCATGTCTCTATCGTTAATTATGTCATTAATAGTTAAGGCATTTGTCGTGTATCCATAGCGTACTGCTCGTTTAAAAAAAAATCTATTCGACTTAGATATTTACTTTGAAATGCTCCACCCCACAGTAGCTCCAATAGCGTGGAAGAAAAGTGAAACTATAAGACTGTTGAATAGCATTTCTAGATCTTTCATTGGGAAACCATAAAATTTGCAGACTCTCAGAATGTACATACGTGAACCACCTTTCTGAAGCAAGGAGTTTATGTTTGCGTCCCAGTTGCATGGATTTTCATTCAAAGTTACACCAAACAGTTTAAGTTCATTCTTTCTTTCAATTCCTGATATCGGTAAAGGAAGGGATTTGTTGGTTTTCCCTCGTACTAACATTTCCCAGGTTTTTTCTAGGTTTAAGGACATGCTGTTTTCAAACGACCATTTCTGAATATTAGCAATCTCATCAGATGAAGAATCGAACCCATTTGCTTTAACCGGGACACTCAGAGTCAAGTCATTTGCGAACTTAGTCATCAAACTCTTCTCCTCATAAATAGTATCAATATCATTAACCATTATACTGAATAGCACAGGACCAAGAACTGATTCTTGTGGAACGCCTCTGTTAATATTTACATATTCTGTTGTTATCCCATCCACCGTAACTCTTTGTCTTCTATCTGAAAGAAAATCGATAATCCAATTGATGATGTAGGGATTTACTTTCAGTGCTTTAAGTTTCTCAGATAAAATGTAATGTGAGACATAATCAAAGGCCTCTTTAAAATCAAAGGTAAAGACCCGAACAAAATCAGCATCGCCATCCAGCCACTCTAACCAATTGTGGTAGCACTTAATTAATGCCATAGTGCAATTTTGACCCCGTTTGTAGGCAAATTAGTCAGCTCCTATTTCCAAGCTCAAGGGAACAGATAATTCTTGCTTGAAGACAACTCTTTCGAATACTCTCATTATAATGTTTGTTAAGGATATAGGCCTGCAGTGGCGTGCTGGCAGGGGGGGGGGCCGGGGGGCCACGGCCCCCCCAGCTGGCAATTCTTGCAGGGCGCAAAAATGAAAAGGGGGCGCCGATCCCGCGCCGAGTTTTGAAAGTGGGTGGGAAAAAACGCATTCGAAAAAATATAGTTACTTCCGCCGAGAAAAGATGTGTTTATAGGCTTATAAACAGACTAAGCGCATAGGCGACAAAGTGATATATTAAATTATACAGACTATTTTGTCTAACCGTATTTGCTAATTTGCTACCTCACGACTCACACGAAATCGTTCATATAGAAACATGAACTGTGATCACACGCAATGTCTCATCACCGGAATATTGGTCAGGTTTCGAAGCGATCACGGGAATCATGCCCTTTTTTGCTGGTATTATGCCCTTTATTATGCTTCACGAATCACGAGAGCGGCGCAAATTAGATAGTTTTAGTTATGATAATCAGTAAAGTTGTGTACGCAATTTAATTGTTTGCGCTAGAAACATCATGAGTAATGTGAGTAATGAAATAATGCTGAAACGCGCCCTTTTGGCAGCCAGGCAGGGAAACCTTAAAATGCATATGCGTGGGGTCCGTGTGTTATTGTATGAAAGAACTGTATGTTGTAAATATATTCAGATCACTAGATCAGTAGAGAATAGAATTGGGATTAGATTAATCGCTGGAAGTTGTTAGCATTGCATAATATAAGTACTACTACCACTACTAAATTCAAACCAAATTGCAAATTTCGACACGTTATAATGCCGTTTCCTGACCTTCAGATTTCTTTCAAATCTTCCCCCAAAGTCCAGGAATTGGCATTTCAGAGACTCTAAATTCAAAAATTTTCCTGGGGGGCATGCCCCCGGACCCCCCTAGACAAACCTCGCACTTGCGGCGCTCGGCTCGTGCCTTCGGCCCTCGTTTACCAAGCGAAACATTATAGGGGCGCATATTTGTTGACAGCCCACTGGCCCCCCCCAGAAAAATAGTACCCAGCACGCCACTGTAGGCCTGAGCTGGTTCACTTCCTCAAGAGGAGACTCGTTAGGAATAGGAAGGACATTAGCTAACTTCCATAGAGATGGGACTATCTGTTCTCTTATCGAGGTGTAGAAGATATGGGTAACAACAGGAGCTAAATAGTTGGCATAGTTTTTCCAAACCCAAAATGGCAAACAATCGGGGTCAAATGATGTACATTTTAGACGTGACAGTACATGTTTTACTAAGTCGATCTCAACTTCAGGAACGTGAACTGTATCAGGAATTTGTAAACGTTCAGGAGTAATATAATTAGGATCAGTATTGATCTCTTTAAAATAGTCATTAATCACTTCTGCATTGACAATAGCACTGATTTGAACGTCTTGTTTATTTCTACCTGATATCCTGTTAGCTGTATCCCACCATGCTTTAGATCCTTTCTTATATTTCCTATTCTCGCAACGGACGGCATTTAATTGATTTGTACGAATAAGTTTGTTAATTCGTTCTTGAAGAATAGCATTTTCATGACTGTCATTATACTTATATCTATTCTTATTCCTTATTTTGCATAGATGTTTGACTAGCGGAGTTATGTAAGGTGGTCACGTGACGACATTTTGATTGAGATCAAAGGAAAGAACCCATCAAACATATTACCTAAAATGTCATTAAGCTTTTGAACATTTTCAGATGGATCTTGACAATCAAAAAACATATCCCATTCCAAGTCTTGTAACTTCCGGTCCATTTGCACCTTTCTGTGCTCGCGCAAGTCCCGAAAGATCACATTTTTCCTCACAAGCTTAGTAGTAATACGAGGTGGAATAAGTACACCTCGATGATAAGAACGAACCAAACTGTTGAACACAATAGGTTTTCTCCATAATAGAGGGTAACTGGTAAGAAATACATCTAAAATTCGTTCGCCTCTTGTTGGTGATTGTACCATTTGTTGCAATGAATGTTGAGTCATTAGTTCAGTTATATTAAGTTTATTTATGTCACCACCAATTATAATTCTCGCATTTGGATCTGAAGACATAATCCTTTCACATGTATCTACCAAATAGTCAATTAAATCAGTTTCATTGTAAACAGGATCAGATGGATTATAAACAGCAGCAATGTAATATTCTAAATTTTCTGCAAAAACGCTACACCATAAGCATTCGAAATCAGTCGCAGAGTCATAAATCTTAATTGTCCAATCAATTCTACAAAATACAGGGTGTCCCAAAAAACCCGAACACTATTGAAATCACTTATTGTTAAATTTGAATGCCCTACCAAACAGCTGGACGTAATGATGCGTAAAATATTGACAAGGTGCATGTATTAGAATTTAGTTAGTAATATCTCCTGGTAAAGTGCGCGATTTTCTGCTCCTGGGAATTAAAAACAGCTTCTTAAACAGTTTCTTTATGCATAAAATTTACTTGTGTCAATCATTTATGCACTCGTGGGAACCAACAGAGTGCTAAGGCATTCAAATTCTAACAATTAAATTGTTATTGGTGATTTCAATAGTTTTCGGGTTTTTTGGGACACCCTGTATAGCAACACCACCGCCCACTCTCGAGTCATTACGATCTTTCCTAATTATTGTAAAGCCATCAGGACAAACAAGATTGGAAGGGACGTTTGAATTTGACCACGTTTCAGATACAAGACATATGTCCGTTTCGTTTGATTTAAGATCGCAATAAAGCGCCGCGGCAGCGGCAGGTTTTACCAAAGAACGGGCATTAATAACCATGCATTTTGGAATAATTGTTGGCTTCGTTGGTCCTGGCAAATCAACTAATTTTACTTCGACAATTGAGCGGCAAAGCTTGCGTGTCCTATTTAATGCATGCAAATTTTCACGGGAATCATTACACATTTGTGATTCTATTGAATGTTCACACTTTTTCGCGTTCGCAGAGAGTAGAATTGACTTCTAATCACAGGTGATGAAATTTTTTCTCGCCAAGAAACATATTTTTTTCTTTACTGCGCTCGGCGAGTCATGCAGGCGTTCAATCAGAACATCAAAGCCATCCGGCGGAAATAGAGAGCCTAGCCTAAAAACAGACCTACGTTTCGCCGGTCCTAAAATTCACGGGTCGACGGAAAGGGCGAAACGTAGCTATAGAGAGCCTGGCTTGCGAGGTTGCATCAAAGCATTCCGCTTGGTTGCGCTTGCGTCGTAGTGAAAATCAGGATTTAGTTCAGGGTTCTCGCCTGACCACCGATGTTAAGCCTGGTCGAGCGAAGTAATCGTACTTGGATGGGTGAACGCCTGGAAATACGTGTAGATTTTTAGTTTTGCTTGGCCGCGTCGTGATTGGTTGGAAATTACATTTCAGATTCGGATGAATATGTGTAACAGTTCGCGCATTGGCAAGTCGATCGTTGCTTCGAATTCCTATAATTTTAGGTACAACGAATCTCTACGACCACACGCCGTTTGTTCCATTACGCATGGTTCAACGCTTCCAGTTACAACCCCATCTCCCAGGGTAACCCCCGGAAAAAATATAAACCGACTGTTCCTGGCAGTGGGGAATTTTATTGAGCGTCTTGTCCCGGAGATGGCCCATGTGAGCCGGGGTTGGGAATATAAAGCCTCTTTGGGCCTAGCCCTATACCTCTAGCTCTTAGGTATTTCGATAATATGCTCGTGGATCAGAGATTGCGCAAGAAAAATGCGTCCTGTCAGTGAACTCGAAGATTGACATTTGTAAAATTTCGATTTATAACGTGTTTGTATGCAGCAATGATTTGTGAATGTTGTCGCCGGTGTAGGGAATTGCCTTTCTATATTTTGCCGGGGGTGGAGGAATTTACATTATGGAAATAAGACATTCGCAAATCCCGGAGGGATGGTAACAGGGAGAATTGAGCCATGCAGGAACTTATCCCAATTACTACGCCTGGTCGTTATAATTTACGTACGTCTAACAATGGCCTTTTACTATCATATCCTCGGGGTAAATCAAAGAAAATTCTTGGTGATCGGTCGTTCATGGTTTCTGCGCCAACATTATGGAACAGCCTTGAGCCTTCCAGCGGGACATAGAACAGTTATCTCATTTTAAATCAAAACTTAAAACATATTTATTTAAGAAAGTTTTTATTCAAAAATAGATAATTTTCTATTCAAACTATATTTATAATATTTAATGTTTTTTATTAATGAACACTTCTAATTTATTCACTAATTTTATAATTATATGATAATGTATCTATGTACTATTTGCACAGGGCCGGATTAACGTCCCGCGGGGCCCGTGGCATAATAGGGACCTTAAGCAAACAGGACAGCAACACGACGGCGACGGCTATTCACACAATGATATTCCTGATCTCGTACAAAAGAAATGAATAATTAAAAGCCCCACGGGAATTAGAGACGTTGTGTTAGGGCTTTTTACAACGGCAAACCAGAGATTTTCACGTCTCGTGTACAACGTAAACATTTCAAGACGCGACAAGTGAAAACTACAAATTTGCTCAGCAGAAGCGTTTTTAACCATAAAGCCTTTGTTTTAATTTCTTCAAACTGAACTCAATTCATATATACATGCAGTGGACAAAACATAACAACACTTCTTTGGCAATAATTTATTTGAAGAATTTTGTTTTGGTTGTCGTCGTTGCGTTACCGTCGTGCATGCTTAAGGTCCCTATTATTGGAGTGGGGCCCCATGATCCCACTCCCCAACCGCCTAACGGCATTTTAAACCCTGAATTCGGTAGGATTTAAAAATATCCTTTTGTATTTCATGCGTTGAAATTTTCCTGTGTATTAACAAAAAAGAAAGAATTATACATCAATAATTTGATCGAACTGAAATTCAACCCAGTTAATACCATTAACATTATTATTATTTACAGGGGAAAAATAGCTAAACATGATAGCGTCCATATAAACTTCTGCCGTCTTCCACGAAATTCAGCGATCTTTTAGTATGTAACAGTTTGCTGAAAATTTTAAAATTTTCTGAACCCTATGATTTTAAATTTTGTGTTTGCGGGCCTGCTTTTGGAGTCTCGTCTTTTTTAACTTTGGGGCCTGGCGGTTTTTTAGTTTGGTGTTTCGCTTTTGGGGGCATTGGACACTTTAGCGCCCCGCGCTGTTTGGATCGCGCGCTAAAACAGGTAGCAAAAAAATCGTTTGGGGTCCCGCACTTTAGGGCCTCGATTTTTAAATTTTTGGGGCCTATAACGTTTTCTGGGGACCTTGGGCTCTTTGGGGCCACGCGCTGAAACACTAAAACAGGGAACAAAAAGAAAACGTTTGGGGTCGATTTTAGGGGCCTAGAGTTTTCTGGAGGACTTGGGATTTTTAGGGCCCCGCTCTGGCACACTGTTTGGGCCCCACGCTGAAACAGGGAACAAAAAATTCAGAAAAAAAAATAGAAGAGAGAAGCGCGTGGCCCATGACATATGCCGCTTCTGCCATATGGTTAATCCGGCACTGATTTGCAGTAATCCCCGAGCCGGCGGCGCGAAGCGCCGTGCGAGGGTACTAATTCCCCCCGGCTATTTACACCCGGGGAAACGAAAGCATTAGGGAAGTCTGAAGTTCATCAAATATCGCGGGCGTGGGTCACTGTGCGTGTTTCGGTGGGTGGTCATCTTCACTGATCTCAAAAATATGGCGGACTGTCATGAATAGCGAACACTGATTGGTCAAATTTAAAATTTGTTGTTCAACTGACAGATACTTCATGAAAATATTTTGCTTTTTGCACTGCAGTATTTTGTACGTTTGCAAAAAACTTTGACAGCTTTCAAAGCAATTTGCTCTATAAAGAGTTTAATAAAACAATTATGTTATCAAATACCAATTGAAAAGATATGGACTACTGTATGGAGCCAAATGAAGAGCGGCAAGGAAACGACAAGAAAGCCGAACGTCTCGCGAAAAGGAGGGAGCCAGCGAAGACGACAACGTTTGCTCGAGGAGACTGCTGAGGAAAGAGAAGCTTGCCTGGGAAAGCGTAGAGAAGTATGGAAAAAAAGACTGCTGAAGCGAAAGGTATTAAAGCAAAGGCTTGTCTTCACAACGCTATGTACCAATGATACTGTAGCTATACAAGTTTAAGTATGATATTCGACCCTCTATATGCGACTATTTCTTCACAATTTTCCAATAAAGAGTTTGTCATGACACGCTCAAGTCAGTATAACCAGACTGTATTTTATTTATATCAGTTATCACAGCCACAGGCAATTTTATGCTGTCAAATACCGTCGGTGGCAACTAAGGGTGAACAGTTTCAGATAAAACATTCTCTATTCTCATTAAAAAGCCTGTAAAAGTTTCCAGTAGGTCTCTAGCCCAACAAGTTCAGACAAAGTTTTGTTACTTATTTTTATTGCACACATGGGAAACAACAATTAAGTGTTGTTGTTCTTGACAAACATTAAAGATTCTAATCACGCGAATGTTTTTATGAGCGACTGTTCATCGTTAGTTGCAAACGACGGTACAACATACTATGAACATTTTTCCGACTGTGACCGAATGTGCAACGATATATTTTTCAAAGTTGTTATCAATTCCTAAAATTTGTTTATAGTAAAACGGCCTGCTCAGCACTCACTACTCACGATGATTTCATTTAGAAATGCAGTTACAGGAAAGGAACTGATTCTAAAATATGTAAATTTAAAAGCATTGGCTAACAGACTTTACGTTACCTAACTTTTATAGTTGCTATTTGTTATAAAATCCTATAAATAAACCGATTCAACAATAATTTT